ATCCGGAACTGTATCGAGCATGTTGCGCGTGGAGTTATCACGAACAACATGCTCGATACACGTGTGTCTTGTATGAAATACAATGTTAAGTTTGCAATCGCATTTTTTTTTATTTTTGACGTAAGCAATTCGGGAAATAGAAGAAACCTTAACGAATAAAGATTAATATTATGAAATAAGTATAAATTACAAAAATTTGAAATTTTATTTCTTAGTCAGTTTTTACAATCTTAAAAAAATTGTAAAAATTGCACATCATTAAACTTTTAATAAGAGACCTTTTAATCAAGATTGGCTAAAAAATTGTAAATTAAAAGAAAGAGCGGTTCAGCTACGATATTCTGTGTGTTTATTCTGCTAATTACTTACTGCAGACAACGGTCATTCACTGGTGATTCTGTTTATTTTTGCATCCTTTTTTTCATCGATCGATGTACCTTATACGCGATGTTATATATGATACTTGCGAAGACTTTCCAGACGCGATGTATCGCCGCGTACAATTTATATCGACCGCTTTTAAAATATTGACAGCTGCAGCGAACTTTTGCAAAAAGCTCGCCATCGCACACATGGAACTGTCGATATTGCACAAGCGGTAGTTTAGCAAACATAGAATAACAAATGTACACGCTCCCGCGAATGCATCTCGCGAATATCGCGAAATGAGAAACTGCTCGAGGAACATGAGCATAATACAATCAGAATGAACGTTGAAATATCATTAATAGAGGATAATCATAAATGTAGAAAATCTAATTAATTTCTATTTTCCATTTCTTCTCAAAATTAAAAAAAAAGCGTGCGATTAACCACTCATTTTTGGACCTTGCAAGTACATTTCATTTTTTTACATACTTTACATATGTGTCATTCCTCCCTTTGTCTCCCTCTCTCTCATTTTTTCTTGCTCACGAGTCTCAGCGATTGTTCATCCCCTGGTCTCCTCCTTTACCTTTATTTATCTCTTTTCCTCTTGGAGGAAAAAGTGCGCTCTCCGTACGCATCAACCCCTATCCTTAAAGATCATGGTCACAGGTTCACTCTGTGTCTCTCTTGAATCTCCCCTTCTACGTTTCCTCGCGCGCTTGCTCTTTCTACGCAACAACATCTCTTTCACCCTCTACTTCGTTTTTCTTTTCTCTCTCGCCCGACTGCCCACTGTCATTCCTTTCTTGTCCCTCCCTTTTACTCTTCCCCGCCTGTTTCTCCCTTTCTTGCTTTCCCTTCTATACTCCATCTTCTGTACGCGCGCTAACCCGCGCCCCAGCGAAGAACGTTTCGGCGACTCGCGCATCCGGGGTTGCGATTCGAGAGGGTAGCGCGCCACGATACTTGGTGGGGGACGAGAAGGAGAGAGTAGTGGGGTTGACCGGGACGTACAGGGGTGGGGGCATATTTGACTATACTAGTGAGCCGCACGTCGGTTGTCACTTAGTGTTGGGTTAGGTCAGCCCAGAGTAGACATCGTCGACCGACATTGTCGGTTAATCTTGTGATCGGAGTTCCACTCCGCTTGTTTATACGCTAGTAGATAGTGATCGAATAATAGATATATTTACGGGACATTTTCGCGGTGGTATCGGCCAGTTGTCGGTCTTATCGTACATTGAACGTTTCCAGTCGGAGTAAGTTGATCGTGTAAATTGTAGAAAAAAATATTCTTCTTTTCCAGACAGAAAAAAAAGGGGGGAAATAATCGAGCATAACGATTGTATATAGACTTTTATTTTAGCACCACATTAATCGCGTCGCGTGATACTTTGCGTTTTCTTCTCCGTATCTCATCGTCGCAAGTGATCATATTGTGCTCGGCAAGAGTGGATGGAGTATCAAAGTGAAGAAAGCTCGTCGCATGGATTGTAGCATGGCATTGTCCTATTTACAAGGGACGCATATATACGCAGGTATTTTTATTAACGATTTATACGTATGAGCGCGAACGACGGAGCATCGAAGGATAAAAATCCGTAAAACTCGTAGCTTCAAACATTAATACGGTTAATCAATTTTTCTATTGCATATTCTTCGTATTCTTATGTTTCTCGTATATGTAATATTTTAATATTATATTCGTATATTTAACATAATATATTATTAAATGTATATATTTATTTTTCTTTTTTTTGAGAGGGTTAATTAATTTTCCTCTCTTTTAATACTTTTACACTGGTTCTTCTATGTTTTATCATTAACATTTCTGCAACAAGTTCTAGATCTATTAATTCTTATAATGTTGAAACTTATCTTTGGTAAAATTCAATGAAAAATATATTCGTCATACGAAATATTAAAATTCTATCATATTAATCTCGAGAATTATGTTTGTCTTTTTTTTATTCTCATCCAGCAATTTTACGAATATTGATTTCTAATAAATATAAAAATGTAGATGGCATATTTATGCTTTAACATAGAGAACGAGAGAGAGAGAAAGAAAGAGAGGAAATTATAAGGCAAGGGAACGATTTCATAGTTTCTTAAGAGCCAAGCACGCGACTTCTGGCGCGTCGCCAAAATCTAAAAGCGCCTACGACGCATGTACATTGTGACACATTGTAAACATCGATAAGCTTCAAAGAGACTAGCAAAATCGCTTGACAAAAAATGCTAAGACAGTAATATCGTAAAAAATAAAGCTTGCTGTGATTTCGCGATTATTTCGGAATGCTCGGCACGCTATTATTTTTAACGACTCTCTCATAATTCTAGAAACCGCGAGCGATCTTTCCAATTCATTATATCACACTTCAAGATATCCTTGATGAACGAGATCCTAACCATTATATTGATATTTATGAACATTACATTAATTTTAACGGAGTCGCATAAAGTATTATAATGTCTTTACGACATCTCTCTAGGTTTTAGTTGAAAGCTATATAAATCGAAAGACTTCTAACTCTCTAAACGTCATGTTAGAAAAGGTTTAAGAAAGGTACTTGTGTAATTTATGAGTTTTTTGTGACTTATGAGTTTTAAAGAAAAAAACAAGACCCTAATAAAATTACCAATAAAGCATTTTGAGCTTAAAAAGATAGTTTTCTATTACTCTAAGCGTTCACAAGGCTTTTTTTTCGACTACTAGTTGACCTTAACAGCTTAAGAAAATAACCATAAAAAAAGGATTGTTGTATAAAAAAATATTTTACATTTTTATGTACAAACGCATAAATAATTAGCTGTTTATTACTTTGTTTTTCTCTGTATTTATTACCTATAAATATTTTATTTGATCAGTTTTTTTCTCTATTGCAAACACGTGCAAGTGTGTCTACAGATTACTTCAAATCATTTCAAAATAAATTTGGATGGTAAAATACAGAGATATAGATTAATTCATAACGATCTAACTTCTAATAAGGTTTCTAGGAGAAAGAACTCGGGTAAAACTACAAGGGTTGCGACCAATTAGGGGGGTAGATGCGAGCGGGGGCGGTACTCTTCTCGTCGCGTTGCCAAGAAACGGCGGTCGTAGGCTGTAAGGATCTTGGTTGCCGTTAAGAGAATTTTGGGGTAGAGAAAAGAGAGCATAAGAAGAAGCAGACGCATCTTTATTGATTGAACGATGCTCTCTCTCTCTCTTTCTCTCTCTCTCTGATTCTCTAAATAATCCATTAATTAACCGACGGTGATCGAATATGAAACTTCGACTTAATGAAACTTATTGTTCAACCTCGTAAGAAAGCCTTTTCTAAATTGTTTGAAATTCCATTTTAATAATCAATCAAATGTTCATTAAAGTATGTTTCAATCGCGTATAATGATCTTCACATGGCATTTAAAAGTATTGCAGTATCGAGTTCTTAAATATTAATTATTAAAGTGGTCTTATATTACGTTCTAATAAGCATTCCAAAAATATTATGTTTTAATACGTATTTCAAGAATAATCATTAAAAATTACAAAATTAAAAATTACATTGCGTTCCATACAATTCTAAAAAAAAAACTCACAGCAGGTTGTGTATTCAACACACATCATAGTGCTTAATGCTTGCTCAATCATAAAATGGCGTATACATTTAACAAAAAAATATATTTTATGAAGTAATTAAATGTGTATAAAAATTTGTGTAATCGTAATAATGTAATATATATAGAAAAATTATAATGTGAAAATATAAAAGTTTCTAAGATTAGCAGTTCAAATATTTAAATGTAATATATTTTTTTATTTGTTTATATAATTTTTGATATACATATATACACATTTACAAATACACGAATATGTATAACAAATTTTAATTAATTTTTTCTCTATCTCTTTCTCTCTTTTTGTCTCTTTCTCACTTTTTTTTTCTATATTTTTAAACATTATATATTATTCATATTATTTTTAAACATTATATATTATTCACCAGACATTATCTATTAAAAGATTACTTTAGAAACTGATAAAGTAATGACTAATATTTTTATCGATTGAACTGTAATATTTCGATGAAAATGAAATATTTGTTGATAAAGTCATTGGTCCAAAGTCGAAGAGACAGTATACACGTACGTGGATAGCCAGAGTCTTATGAATGAACTCTCGTATACGAGAGTGTGAGTGAATGGAGGAGGATCCAATAACCTCACGTGCGAGCGACATGTGTGGGAGGGCACGTCAGAAGTGGTAGGGAAGAGAGAAATAGAGGGAGAGAGTAAAGGAAAAAAAAAGAAATAAAGAGAAGGAGTGTTAATAGGAAGATTTAAAGCGCAAGGAAGATATTACAACTCATAGGTTATACAAATAATTTTATTATGCATTTTATCTGCTTAATTATAACCGCGAATTTCACCAAAGTATTTTAATTATAATGATGCGTTAGGTTATTATGCGTTAAATATCATCAATATATTAAATTATACTGCCTTTATATTCATGAAATACATAATGAAACACATAAACTTGTTTCTATTGTAGATACATATTAAGCATTAAGTATTAAATGTGATAAGTATTAAGTGCAACTTCATTAACTAACGCTGTTTAATTCTTTTTTTGAGTTCAGGATTCCTGATCAATCAACACCTGAGCATGATGCAGGACGCCGAGCAACAACAACCGTTCAACAATGTATCGCTATATCCGGAACCGCTATCAAGATCGGTAGCAAGATTATCGGTACTGAATCAGGACTTTCTCGCTACTCAAGCCCTGTTAAAGGCGGGACTTCCTTTGCATGGCTTGACCACTTCATTCTTCAATCAGAATCTCTTCGTTGACCCGCGAGATTGGCAAAGACAGCAGTCGATCGGATCTCCACCGCCCTCCTCCGTTCATCTATCGCCTGTAGTATCGCCGGCTCTCAGCACTTCCAGCAATTCCACATCTCAGCGCATCAGCATTACCGCTGCCAGCGGCAGCATCAATGGTGACGACGAGGATAATAATCACAATAATAATAACAACAATGTGCCGGGCAACAAGAAAGGGGGCAGGAAGAAGAGAAAACCAATACAGAACCAACCATTGAACACAGAAACCGTTGAACCACCAATCGTTGACCAACAAAACGCTTTGCAAAATGAAGTCGAACTCAACGTCGAACCATCTCCAACTCCAACTGTTAATTTCGAGGCAGAATCTCCAACCGTCAGTCCTGAGGCAACAGAAAAGAAGAACAAGAAACAAAATTTTGTTTGCGCTGTGTGCCAGAGAGGCTTTGGTTATAAGCATGTGCTGCAGAACCATGAACGCACTCACACTGGCGAGAAGCCTTTCCAATGTCCAGTGTGCCATAAAAGGTGAGTTTCTTTGCGATTAATCGCAGATCTTATTTTTCTTAATTATAATGGGGAGAGAACAATTTCTTTAAGAGAAGGATTATCAGTGTAAATAAAATTCATTCGAAGAAAAAAATATTCTTCGTGTTACGATATTAAAATTAAATCGTAGAATTCAACCTATAAAATACGATATTAAAATTAAATTGTAGAATTCAACCTATATAAAATCTTTCAATCTTGCAGATTTACTCGGGACCATCATTTGAAAACACACATGCGACTTCACACAGGCGAGAAACCTTACTGCTGCAAATTCTGCCAGCGGCGATTCGTCCAGGTCGCGAATCTCCGGCGTCACTTGCGAGTACACACGGGCGAGCGCCCGTATCTTTGCAGGCACTGCAATAACCGTTTCAGCGACTCGAATCAGTTGAAGGCTCACGTAATGGTGCACAACGGTGAGAAACCGTACGAATGCGAAAACTGCCATGGACGATTCAGAAGACGACACCATCTGCATCAACACAGATGCAACGGCGATAGTAATGGCGGCGATGAAGCGCAAGACTTCGAAACCGAACCGAACGAGAATGACGATATCGACATCGACGGCGAGGAGCAGGAGGAGCAGGAGAATATCTCGCACTCCGCTCAGGAAATTCTCAAGAGGCCGACTCGTCGTGGATTATCCAGAGTCGACATCGCCGCGCAGATATTGAATCTACCCGGACCTTCGAGCACTCAACCTCCCGTGCCGTCGATCGTTCTACCCGAGCAAACCGAGCCCGAGGATCTATCCATGTCCAGGTTACGCAGACATTACTCCAACAGCAGCAACGATTCGTCGCTGAGCCATAGCCTCAGCAAAGATAGCAGTCCCGAACAAGAGGATGAAAAGTACGAGGCCAACTTGTTCCTGAGACATACCCGACATACTGCGTCAAAACGGCAATCCTCATCACGACAACCAAGGAGCAACCCTTAACGCCAATCAAGTGGAGCATCAGCATCCTAGTGGAGTTTCAACGGTAGAGAAAGGTATCCTGTAATCGCTTTCCCGTATCTACCTCTTATTATACCATTAAATTTTGAAATTTGGGCGATAATCACGATTCTCCAATTTGCTGAACTAAATATATAGAATAAATTTATTCCCGCAATTTTAAACAATTCTTTTTGCGACTGCTAAAATAAGTCGCATAAATATATAAAACTAAAAATCTTTAAGAATCAACGGAAATGCGCGAGACAAAGCAAGAATACGTAATAGTCGAACTATACCTGCGCTTGTCTTTCTGTTCCTACAAAATGGTCGGCACAGTCAAAAGATAGATGAAGGTCTATAGATATTAACTCCTTTGAGAGACGGTACCCCCATCGGGTTAAGCAGACTAGAAAATCTTGATCATGTCGTCCAGTGTCCGAGTCGATTTAAAATTCAAGCCGATCTCCACCTCCATTATTTCTCACAGCTTCGTTCTGATCGCAGAGAATAAGATACTCGCATAATCGAGATGCTTCTCCGATTTCCGCCTGCTATCCTTCGGACGCGCGCAGCCGGCCCCGTCAACAATCCCCTTCAAAGAGCCCTAGTTTTTTTATACTAGTTGACTTCCTCTCAGCCGGTGCGTGTCTTTCGCGTGAACCAGTTTTTCGCGCGATGCGATACATCGGGTCGCGCTAAAAATTTTGTCGATTACCGGTCTCGTTTCCTCGAGAGAGATCTTCGCGCCGTATCTCCTCGGGATCCTTTGCTGCTCAATGTTCGCCTGATTTATGTAAGCGCAGTGGTATGCAGATTTCTCATTCTGACCGCTGACTCAAGGCCATCTAGACTTTATTGTTTGGTCCGTTTCGGTTACGCATTTCTAGAGCAATATTCCTACACTCCCATTTCCCAATTCCCCTTTAGCTTCTTTCGATGCGGCGATGAAGCACGAATGCCTCGAGTTATAAACTTCACCATGTCTTTGCGCTCCGCTGGATAAAACAGATAGGAAGGAGGAAGAAAGGAAAACAGAAGGTCTACATATTGCATGAATATCGTTCGAAATACTGGATAGGCCAAATTGCCCTCGTTTATCTTGTGACTGTTTCGTTCGACCGTTTTATAAAGAAAGAACGACAAGCGCAGGTATAGATCGACTATGGCGTCTTTCTGCGTTGTCTCATATTTTTGCTGGCTTAAAAAGTATTTTATATATTTATGCAATTTATTTAGCAGTTTATGTAGCAAAAAAGATTGTTTAAAATTGCACGATCTAAAATAGAATTTAGTATAACTCGAGTTATTCCTTATTATTTCTTAGATTCTTAATTTTTATATTTCTCTTATAATCTTTATTTTTTTTTTTTTAATATCCGCTCTTAATTAAGACTTAAGTCTTTTTATTGAGAGCTTTTTTACGAAATATTACAAGGAAGTAATTTAATTCAAAACAATTATTAATTTTGTTTTTTTGAACATTTTTTACGCGTTATAAATTTTGTGGCAAGCATCATGCCGTGAGTTTCTTTGTAACATGCCTGTTATACTTTCTCCACATACTTTTAAAATGACATTGAGCTTAGCAACGATATTTATTGGTCGTTTGCGTTGAACCCCATTAAAGTCATTTTTATATCCTGCTCTTATTTTTGTTCCGCTCTCCTATGCGCGCATCTTTTTAAGACTTAGGAAACTGTTGTCCCTCTATGAGACACACGAAACAAACGAAATGGGAGCGAATCCCTGAAGCGTAGTTGTCTTTTTTGAAAACTAAACTAACACAGAAAAATACGAGACATAAAACGAAATAAATTATATGCAAATTTTTTCCGTTAAAAAAATAATTAAGCGGGAGAAATTGCATTTTTGATAATAATGTAGACACAACTTTCGTTTTATGCATAGAAAAGAGAGACGAAAGTAGAGCAGTACTGATATATGTATGTGCAAAAAACTCATTGCATGACACAAAATTTATAATGCATAAAAAAATTCGAGAAGACAACAAATGGTAGTTGATTTTGATTACGTTATTTTCTCATTTCGTAATGAGAAATCTTGATAAAATGACCAAGATATATCTCATCTATAGAAACGAGGAAATTTTTTTCTACGAAATATATTCATTATCTCAGTATAATTTTGGGACATGAACAGTTTGAAAATTTATCGAAATAGTGTTATATACGCAACCATTCACAACAATTGTTAAGTATCCATTAAGTTAATTGTTAAGTACATCGAATTTTACTGACAGATACTTCAGATTTCGCGAACGCTCGAAAGCTATAAAATCAATAATCTAATCCTTATCTCTGCTAAATCCAATGATAGCTTCGGGATATTTTCAAGTTCTCGAGTTTATTATATACAGAAATATCTCTCAATCATTTTTAAATCAAAAATCGTATAAACATTTTACAAATTTTCACGCATCTTTTTCTTCCTTCGACAAATAACAAATGTACGTTTAAATATGTGACAAAAGGCCTCCGCAATTTTTTACGTTACAAGTAATGTGAATAATTGTTTTTCTCAATTAAATTGCAACGAAATAAAATTTCGGAAAATCAGCTCTCGAAAGAGACTCCATTCGATTAATCGCGACTCTCTTTCGCGCGCTTAGCGCTCGACAAAATCGTCTCTTCGTTCCGTCGCTAGCCGTCGAGAATGAGACCGGTTTTCGCCTCGCGATTGTCGCAAACTGGCCACAAGTAAAATCGTTAAGCGTTCTCAGTCACGACACTTAACCGTACATTCGTTCATCTGTCACCTACCGAAAGAAAAAAAGAGATAAAGGCGCGCGAGACTCTTACGTTTGTGAATTCAGTCCGATCCTCTATTCGGAGAAAGGGAGAGAATAATTGTCCTTATGTACAATAAACTACAAGGAATTCGAAGTAAGATCTGCCTTTCTATCAAAGCCTTCTGGTGGTGAAAATATTCCTATGATATTATTCTCGCAACAGATACAAAGATAACAATTAAATTATTAATTTGTAGCATTCGGGCATAACGTTCGCGAAATCTGAACGAATCCGTAAGATTTGATGATTAGTAATTATCATAAAAATTAAATATCGTTTCGTAAGATTTTAAATTACAAAGAAACAGAAGAAAAAGAATAGTAGACCTGTATAAACAGAAACATAAGTGTTCGGGATTAATATTTTTTAATTTTAGAAATTTGTAGGGATTGATATATCGCAAGGTACTCTTGCATTCGACGTGTAAAGCGTATGTAAAGTGCTGAATTTATATCCCAAAATTAAACTGAGATAATGATATATTTTGTCGAAGGCTTCCTCTCTGCGGTTTTTCTCTCAAGTTTTTTCTACATATTCTGGAATTGCCATAATTTCTTCAATTCAGTAACACACATAGAACGCGAACAGCGTCGAACAAAATTAGAATAACGCGATATTCGGTTTTACCTCTTGATCAATCATTATAACTTGCGAACCGGAATTGATCACGTTATTCTTGGACACGACGTGACTGCGATTTTTGCGCACGTGTTTCCATCGCCGCAAAAAATTGATATTGCCGGACGGCAAATTTGCACGCGTTCGATTTACGCGCAACGCGATTGGCTGCACAAAATTATATACAGATGTCAATTTAATCACATGTAGTAAAACATGTACGAAGAGATGTATATCTAGATACATTTTATCGGGTTTAAAGCGATTGGTATACGGAGAGATATAATTATCATGAGGACATAATTTTGTCTCTTTGACAACTTTATGGTGCCTGATATAATTCAAAAGTTATTTCGACTCTTTGGTTTACTTTGCGTCATTGTTTGCTTGGTAATTCGTCGTTATTTTTACTTTCATTCAGCATACAGCACATTCTGTATGCTTTATCTGTTAGGCAGATGCAAGATATCTTACATATTTTAGATTCTAGAATTTAACTAGAAAGTCTAACATAATTAAATCGGTTCGCAAAATATAATTATTGATCAAGAAATAAAACCGTATAATAGATAAAATTATAGTAATAATTTTAGTTTTAATTTGACGTCGATTACGTTCTATGTATTATCGAATTAAAGGAATTTTATGGCAATTGAACCATATGTTATCCGATTCCTATACAAATATATATTTGCGCAATATCGAATACAAGAGTACCTTGAGATATATCGATTTCTGAAGGTTCCTACAATTAAAGATGGTTAGTTCCTAATACTGTTTGTAACTTATGTTCCTGTCCAGTCTTGTTTATGCAAGGCTGTTGTTTTTTTTCTTTTTTTTTATTTCTTTGTAAGCGATAGTTATATAATGATGAAAATTGAGATATTGATGAGGCAAAGAACTACGCGTCGTTATACTTATATTAATGCATAGAGTTATCGCTTGTCCCATCGTAATTATTATCGTTGTTGTCCCCTTATTCTTAACGTGCAAAATATGTATATTGCATACATACATACATATATTATATATTTGTGTCGACTAGTTGTAACGTACTAATACGACGCGCGTTTGAATTGAGATTGCGTTGGACGGATGAGGATCGACGGAACATAAAATTAAAGTAAAATAAAAAATAAGAACACTAATATATACGATACGATACAAATATATACGATACAAGGAAGTTTAACAACAAATTTTGATTGAAGAATTAGAATATTAAATTTGATTTAAAAAAAACACCACGATTGGAGTATTCGAAAATATTTAAACACTTGGATTATTCAGAAAAGTATAAAAAATATAAAAAAGTAAATATAAAAAATATAAAAAAGTATATAAAATATAAAGGAGATTATTTTTGTTTTTTTATGAATTTTTCATCGATTCGTTATGGTGAAACTACAACTTAATTTTAATAATTCTATAAAATCTCTGATGATTTTATAGAATTAGTAGATATTTTAGTGCGAATGAGAGAAAAGAATTAAAAATTCTTTCGTATAGTTACGTGGGATTTTATAAATGTTCTCTTTCATTCGATATTATAATATTAATTGTTTAGTTTTCACTAATAAAATTAATAAAGATGTTAATTTTATAAAAAAAAAGTCACCAATAAATATGAATTTGATTAAAAATGTCTAGCATATGTACTAACATAATCAACAATTTTAGAAAATTAATAAACATCAATTAATCACTTTATAAAAAAGTTTCCCAAATTTTCAGTTTCTTTTTTTAATTACTTTGATCATTGCATATAATATGCTGTCATTATACTTATTGCGATGTAAACTTTAGTATATATTTTTCTATTTTCTATATTCTTTCTCACATTTTATAATATCTCGATTTTTTCACCAAAAGAATGATTAATTGATCGAACTCTATTGAAAGAGAGAAATTTTATATAATCAGTTTTATAGAATTTCTACTACAATACAACGTCGATCGTCGACCGTACTCCGTATCCCAATCGTTCAAGCTCGACGAAATGTACCTATTATAATTATGTATACTTGTTCGTATATTTACATATAATTAAGTTGATATCTATATATAATTTTGTACAGCCAATCGCGGTGCGCGCGAATTCGAGCGAATTCGCCCCTTGACAGTGCCAATTTTTCCGCGATGGCGGAAATATGCCCATAAAAATACAGCCATGTCGCATCCGCTCGAGTTCGCATCCTTTTCGCGCACGAAAGAACGAGACACGGTACAAATGCAAGACCTTACGCCTACGATAAAGTGAATAAACACGGTCTCACGAAGTAATAGATAATAATGTCGGTACATTATTTAGCGAAGTGTATCAACCACACTTGGCGCACTTGATTGTTTATCGCGAACAATCGTTTGCTCGTTTGCGTATTATCGGTAATCGTTGTTGGCGATTCTCATAGAATCAGGAGCCCTCGACAACGATTCCGTATATCAATATTAATGTCGCGTACAATGTCGTTTAACGCTTGTTACGCAATGTACAGCGCGAATAACAGATGAAGTGGCACTGAACGTATACTATGAAACTGACACTACCTCACCAGACACCTAATATATCTCAACCACAAGACTGATTTTAAATAATATTCCTATAAATAAGATAAAAAGAGAGATAATGGGCAAGAAGAAGAATAAAAAAAAGAGAGTGACGAATTGCGAATATTATAGAGAGAGGTATATCATTCGTACAAATATGATATAAATCGTTTTGTAAGTAATTTGCGCGTCTAGGTAATAAAATATTAATTGTAATATTATCATTATTATTGCATTGCTGCCAACTTTGAATTCCTATTGTGAATAAGAGAAAGAATCGACGAGAGA